CTCTCTCTCTCTCTCTCTCTCTCTCTCTCTTCTCTCTTCTTCTCTCTCTCTCTCTCTCTCCTCTCTCTCTCTCTTCTCTCTCTCTCTCTCTCTCTCCCTCCTCTCTCTCAATCTCCCTCCTCCCTCTTACTCTCTCTCTCACTGTATTTTTCTCTCTCTCTCTGTTCCTCTTTGTCTCTCTCTCTCTCTCTTTCTCTCTCTCCCTCTCTCTCTGTCTCTGTCTCTCTCTCTCTTTCTCTTTCTCTCTCTCTTCCTCTCTCTCTCTTTCTCTCTCTCTCTCTCTCTCCCTCCTCTCTCTCAATCTCCCTCCTCCCTCTTACTCTCTCTCTCACTGTGTTTTTCTCTCTCTCTCTGTTCCACTTTGTCTCTCTCTCTCTCTCTTTCTCTCTCTCCCTCTCTCTCTGTCTCTCTCTCTCTCTCTCTCTCTCACTCTCTCTCTCTCTCTCTCTCTATCTCTCTCTCTCTCTCTCTCTCTCTCTCTCTCTCTCTCTCTCTCTCTCTCCCTCTCTCTCTATCTCTCTCTCTGTCTTTCCCGTACTCTCTTTCTCTCTCTATCTCTCTCTCTCTCTCTCTCTCTCTCTCTCTCTCTCTCTCTCTCTCTCTCTCTCTCTCTCTCTCTCTCTCTCTCTCTCTCTCTCTTTCCCTAACCCTCTCTCTCTCTCTCTATCTCTCTCGCTTTATCTCTCCCTCTCTTTCTCTCTCACTCCTTCTCTCTCTATCTTTCTCTGTCTCTCTCTCTCTCTCTCTCTCTCTCTCTCTCTCTCTCTCTCTCTCTCTCTCTCTCTCTCTCTCTCTCTCTCTCTCTCTCTCTCTCTCTCTCTCTCTCTCTCTTTCCCGTACTCTCTTTTTCTCTCTATCTCTCTCTCTTTCTTTCGCTCTCTCTCACTCTCTCTCTCTTTCTCTTTCGCTCTCTATCTCTCTCTCTCTCTCTCTCTCTCACTCTCTCTCTCTCTCTCTCCTTCTCTCTTTTCCTCTCTCTCTCTCTCTCTCTCTCTCTCTCTCTCTATCCCCCCTCTCTCACTCTCTCTCTCTCTCTCTCTCTCTCTCTCTCTCTCGCTCTCTCTCTCTCTCTCTCTCTCTCTCCCTCTCTCTCTATCTCTCTCGCTCTATCTCGCCCTCTCTTTCTCTCTCTCTCTCTCTCTCTATCTCTCTCTATCTCTCTCTCTCTCTCTCTTTCTCTCTCTCTCTTTCTCTCTCTCTCCCTTTCTCTATCTCTCTCTCTCTCTCCCTCTCTCTCTCTCTATCTCTCTCTCTCCTTCTCTCTTTCTCTCACTCTCTCTCTCTCTCTCTCTCTCTCTCTCTCTCTCTCTCTCTCTCTCTCTCTCTCTCTCTATCTCTCTCTCTCTCTCTCTCACAGACTCACAATGATATAGACTCACAACTCATTCCATGCCATGCATGCACATACACAAACAAGGACGACAAGCCGAGTGCAAGCCATAGGGTTGCACCAACAAACTCCCCCTCAGATTGTTGGCCTTAGAATCTGCTCCCCTTAGTTCAGAGCCATCCCTGCAAGCTTGCAACACTTCCAATGCTGCTGCTCAACCAGCCTCTTGGTCATCATATCAGCTGGCTGCGCTGTCGTTTTCATGTAGTGCAACTCCACTTCACCCGCGGTTACCATGCTCCTCACCCAATGCGACTTCACCTTCATGTGCTTGGTAAGGCCATGAAGAATTGGGTTCTTTGCCAATGCAATAGCACCTTGGCTATCACAGTAGAGTGGGGTAGGTCCTTGCTGCTCCTCCCCCAATTCAGCTAGCAAACGCCGCTGCCACACAACCTCTCTTATGGCACGGAAGAGTGCCATGAACTCGGACTCCACCGAGCTCAATGCTTGGTCCACTTGTTTCTTGCTCTCCCAAGCTGTTGGTCCTCAACCAAAACAGCATATGAAGCCTCCCACACTTGTCATGTCCTCTGCTTCTGATGCCCAAGATGCATCAGAGAAGGCGGTGAGAAAGCGCCTCCCGGGTTTGACTCCATCCGCAACCTTTTGACGCCTTTGTGCCGCCGCGGAGTATTGCAGTCCAACAGTTGCTGTTTGGCCAAGGTACTTGGCCACTCTCTCTCCAGCTGCTACCTGCTCTTCATTAGGGCATTGGACAACCCTAGCCAGCTGCCCGGTAGCAAAGGCTGCATCCGGCCTTGTGTGAACGGCCGCATACATGAGGCTGCCCACCAAGGAGTGAAAACGGCGCCTCTCCTCTTCACCAACACTTTCCTCCGCTGGTCCTTTTGTTAGAATATACCATGCTATGCTAGTTGTGTATATTGTGTTTACATCCCTAGTTGGGTGTACACCTGTGTTGGGGTGTCAATCCAACCCAATTGTGGTTGGAGCCCCCAAACACAAGGACCACAATTGTGGGGGCACCACAAGTGGGTTGGCTAAACCACTGGTGGTACACCACACTTGGACGACCTCCAACTGGTGGTCAACCACATTTGGAAGGATCCTCCCTCCCTTGTGATTGGTCCTAACCCCCCCTTCCCTTCCAACCTTCGTTTCCTAGCTCATCTCTCTCTTCCTATGTAATGCCTTTGCTTCATCAATAAACTGAACCTTTCTGTTTCTAACATGGTATAGAGCAATAATGGCTCACGCCAACTTTTAAATCCCGATCCTTCCCCACGCTTCCGCCCCGTCCCCTTCCGACGTGCACCTCATTGCCGTCCCCTCCATCGCCGCTGCTAGACTCCTAGCCGCCGCCTCTCAACTAGTTTTCTGTTGGGTGGATTTTCAAAAACCCCCAATGCGCCAAACGCCATAGCTCGCTCGATAGTTGACAGAATTGAGTGATTCGACTTGCAAAAGAACGCTCTTGGTGTCAGCTACAACGTCGTAAAATTTCGGACTGTTTCATCGCTTGGATTGTCAGATATTGCTTTCCAAAGTTTGCACACTTTCCTGGATGTGATCACGAAGTGCTACTGAAATTTCTACCAAGTCCTATTTTCATCAGCTAGCTGCCATCTTTCCCCATCTTTTGCCTCCTCACCTACACCTGCTCATCGCCGCCTTACCACTGCTGCAGCCGTAGCAGCAGCAGTAGAAGCAGCAGCAGCACCAGAAGGAGCAGCAGACTCAGCAGCAGCAGCAGCAGCAGCACCAGAAGGAGCAGCAGACTCAGCAGCAGCAGCAGCAGCAGTAGCAGCAGCAGCAGCAGCAGCAGCTGAAGGAGCAGCAGCAGCAGCAGCAGCAACAGCGGCAGCAGCAGCAGTGGCAGCAGCAGCAGCGGCAGCAGCAGCAACAGCAACTGCAGCAGCAGCAGCAGCAGCAGCAGCAGTATCTACAGCCATCCCCATCCTCCCCTCCTCTTTGAGCCGCCGCGGGTCCACCCGCCGCCGCTCCCTCCCGGCCACCGCGGGTCCACCCGCCGTCGCCTTCCTCCCACTCCGTGTCACCAATGGCATCCTTTCCCCCTCCCGTCGACGTCTCGACCCTCGATCATCTCGTGCGCGCTGCCGACAACTCAGCAACCAACTGGTATTCCTTCGTCGGCAGCCTCCACCGCGTCCTCGGCAGTGCTTATGTCCTGCCGTTCCGCCTCCTGGACATCATGCTTGGTCTCCCAGAGGGTGACCTTGGGGACCCGCCGCCTCACCCTGGCGATCCCCCCCCTCTCATTCCCCATCCCGGCGAGGAACCTCCGCCCCCCATGGTACCCGTTGGCACCAGCACTCGCGCTGCCACCGCTGAAGTTGAGCAGCTCTTCCTTACTCAGCGTCGTGAGTTCCTCGTGCTCCATACTGATTACCTGATCGCGTTGGAGGAACACGAGCGGTCGGCAACCCTCCGCACCCAGCATGCCGCTACCGCCGCCGCTTATGCCGCTGACTCTGCGCGATTTGCTGAGCGTCGTCGCGCCTGGCTCGAGGCGGACAGCCGTGCTACTGGTGCCCTTCTCCTTGCCATCCCGTCTGCGCTCATGCGCAACTTCCAGGCACGTCGCATCGGCTCCCGCCAGATCTGGCTCGAGCTTGAGGCAATGTTCGAACGCACCGACTTCGATGCTGTCGGACCGCTCTTCAAGGAATACTTCAGCATCACGATCGAAAATAGTGCTGGCGCCGTTGACTACACCAGCCGTCTCCTGGACCTTGCCTCCCGCCTTGAGGCTCGCCAGACTACTCTCCCCCCCAACCTTCAGATCTACCGTCTCCTCGAAGGCCTCTCCCCTCAATATGAAGTGCGCGTCATCGCCTTCACTGAGGCTCAGCCCCGCGCCTCCCTTGACACTGTGGTCCAATGGATCATTGACGCTGAGGCCCGCCTTCTCTCAACCCCCCCCCTCCGGCCTGAACTCCACCGAGTCCCAAAACCCCCAGCTTGCAGTCACACAGCCGCGTCGTGGCGGGCGCCCACGTGGCGGCCGCACCAACCCTCAGGGAGGGGTGGAGGTGGCGGTTGTGGGGGCAGCGGAGCCGGCGGCGGTGGTGGCGGGGTCGAGGGTGGCAGCAGTGGTGGTGGTGGAGGCAGTGGTGGCTCATCTGGTAGCCATGGTGGCCGCCCTGGCACTCTCCCCCCATGTTCCTATCTTCGCCGTTTTGGTCCCAGGGCGGGTGAGCGCTGCACCCAAACCAACCATCCCCCCTCGACCTGCTTCAAGGCGTATGATGACGCCTGGTTCGAGCGCGGCAACACTGGCACACCCCCACGCTGGTCTGCCATGGATCTCCGCCCCTCTCTCCAGGATGTCAAAACTCTTCCGTCTTTCCTCCCCTCTCATCTTCAGCTCTCCTCCTCCTCCTCCTCTGTCGCTGACCCCATAACTCCCCAGGAGCTGCAGCAGTTTCGCCGCTTCCAGCAGCTGCAGCTGCTGCAGCAGCAGCAGCAGTGGGGCTCTGGTGGTCAGGCTGCAGCCGCAGCTGCAGGAGCCGCAGCCGTAGCATCTGCATGGCAGCAGCAGCAGCTTGGCTTTGGCACCGCCGCCATGGCTGCCACAGCCACACCAGGTCCTCCTGGCTTTCCCCTCTGGGGCTCTCCTTCCCCTAGTGCTCCCGCCTCCCACTCCAGCTTTCTAGGCGAGCTCATGCGTTCTTCCCCTGCTTCCACTTCCATGTATCCCTCTGTTTTTAATGCCAGTGATTTCCAGTACCCCGTGTCTTCAGCTCCCTCCTCGCCCACGATTGACTTTGTTCTCGATAGTGGTGCCACTGAAACTGCCCTCAAAGACGCCGGCACCCTCACCTCCCTCCCTTTCCCCACCAACGTTCATGGTGCTGATTCCAGCTTCTCCATCCCTTGCACTCATCTCTCCACCCTCCCCTGCCCCCCCTTCCCCTCTAGAGTGGTCACTGGTCTCCACATTCCCTCCCTTCGTCATAACCTGCTCTCCATTCGTGAACTCCAACAGGCTGGCATCACTACCCTCTTCCCCACCTCTGCCACCTACTGTGACCTCCTCCACGGCCCCACTCGCCGCCTCCTTCATCGCCTCCCACTTTGCCCTCGCTCTCGTCAGTACATCCTCCGCACACCCCGCCCCTCCTCATGCCACGTGACCACTCGTGCAGGCACCTCCACTCTCCCCCCTCCCCTCCCTCTAGAGCCACCTTCCTCCAACTCCACCTCCTCCCCATGCTCTTGTCGCGCACTGTCCCACCCCGTTGTTCTCATCCACCACCGCCTTGGTCATATGAACTTTCCCACACTTCGTAAAGCCGTCTCCTCCCGCTTGCTTGACGGTCTTCCCCCCACTCTTCCTCCCCTCCCGTCCTCTTCCGCTCCCCCATGCGCCACATGCATTCATGGAAAGCTCAAACAACAGCCTCACCTCAGTCATCCTTCCTTTGCTGCTGCCCCCCTTGACCTCGTCCACATGGACCTCTGGGGCCCTAACCCTTCCCCTTCCCGCCAAGGGCACCGGTACATGCTTGTCCTAGTCGACGACCACAGCAGGTACTCCTCGGTGTTCCTCCTCCACACGAAGGCCGAGGCCCCTGCTGTCATCGTTACCTGGGCCGAGCAGTGCCGAGTCCACTTTGGTCGCCCCATCCGCCGCCTCCATTCCGACGGCGGTGGTGAGTTTCTCAACCGCACCCTCTCCTCCTACTGCTCAACCCATGGCATCCAGCAGACTCATACCCTTCCCCACTCCCCTCAGCAGAACGGTGTTGCTGAGAGTCGCATTCGTGAGATCACCAAGACGGCCCGCTGCCTCCTCACTCATGCCTCCATGCCCCCTTCTCTTTGGGGCTATTCCCTTGTCCATGCTGCTCTCTTTACTAATCTTTACCCACATCCTCAACGCCAGTCTGTCACTCCCACTGAGCTCTGGGCTAGCACCAAGCCAGATGCTGCCATTCTCCGTATCTGGGGTTGCAAGGCATATGTCCTCATCCCCCCACCTGACCGCTCTCGGCAGGCACGAAAGCTCGCCTCCAAGGCCATTGAGTGTGTCTACCTTGGCCACGCTCGCTCTGCCCCTGGTTACCTCTTCCTTCACCCGTCCTCAGGCCGCCTCCTACAGAGCCGTGACGTGGTGTTCGATGAGAGCATCCCGTTCTATCATTCTGTTCCGCCTTCCGACCCCCTTCCTCCTCTCTCCCGCCCCCTCACCTGGGCTGATGCTGTCATTCCCCCACTCCTTCCCCAGGCTCCCCTCCTTCCTCCAAATCCTGCTCCTCCCCCTCCTCCTTCCTCAGGTGACATTTACGACCCAGCTGTCCCTGACTCCCCTGCTCACTCTGCCTCATCGCACCAGCACCAGCAGCAGCAGCAGCAGCAGAAGGAGCAGCAGCAGCAGCAGCAACAGCAGCAGCAGCAGGTGCAGCAGCAGCAGGTGCAGCAGCAGCAGCAGCAGGAGGTGCAGCAGCGGATGGAGCAGCAGCAGCAGCAGCAGCAGCAACCGCAGGCAGTGCAGCAACAGCAGCCGCAGCAGGAGGTGCAGCAGCAGCACCAGCAGCAGCCCCAGCAGCAGGTGCAGCAGCAGCACCAGCAGCAGCAGCAGCAGCAGCAGCCACTGCAGCAACCTCATCGGCATCGCCGCACCACCTCTCCGTTCATCCTCCCACGCATCCACACTCGCTCTCACGGCCCACTCATAGGCCATCCATGGGGTTGGCCAACACCACCCCCACCCTCCCTTCCCTTCGTTGAGGACTCCCATGAGGAGCTCATTGGCGAACAGCAACAAACACCTTCCCTCACGCCTCTCTACCCGGGCTTCCTTGGCCTCCTCATCCTTGGCATCGCTACCGCTCCCACCAGATTCACTCCGTCCAACTTCCTTGAGGCCATCACCTGCCCCGATGCTGCCAAGTGGATCCAGGCTATCTTTGCTGAATGCGAGGCCTTCATCTGCAATGCCTCATTCGTTAACATTGTCCCCTCTCCTGACGACGTCATTGTTGAAGGCCTGTGGGTGTTCCGAGTGAAGCAGTTGCCGGGTGAGGAGCCGGTCTACAAGGCCCGGTATTGTGCCAAGGGCTTCACCCAAACCCATGGCATCGACTACTGGGAGACATTCTCTCCCACTGCCAAGCTCCCAACTCTCCGTGCCATCCTCGACTATGCTGTTCGCATTGGCATGGAGATTGCCTCCATGGATGTCTCCAACGCCTTCCTGCAAGGCGAGCTCCAGGAGCGGGTCCTCTTGCGGCGGCCTCCCGGCTTTCATGCAGCCTTCCCTGCCAACACAGTCTGGGAGCTGGGCCGCCCGGTTTATGGCCTCAAGCAGGCTCCTCGCGAGTGGCACAACAAGCTGGCCGCCACTCTGCAGTCCTTGGGGTTCCATGCCTCTCAGTCTGATGCCAGCCTTTTCCTTCGCTCCTCTCCCACCCGCTTCTTCATCCTGGTGTATGTCGACGACATGATCCTGTTTGCTGACGATGCTGCCGCCATGCAGCAAGTGAAGGACGCCCTGCATGCGCGCCTCAAGTGCAAGGACCTGGGTGAGCTCAAGCACTATCTGGGCATGACCATCACCCGGGACCGCACATCGCGCACCATTACCCTCTCTCAGTCCTTCTACATCGACCAAGTCTTGCAGCGGTTCGACATGGCGCAGGCCAAGCCGGTTACCACTCCCCTGCAGACCGACCACCAGCTTGCCCCTCCTCCTGCTCCCTCCTCCTCTGACCATCCTTACGCTCAGCTCGTCGGCTCGCTGATGTACGCTATGATGTGCACCCGCCCCGACCTTGCCTACCCCATCAGTGTTCTTGCTTGATTCGTCGGTACCGGTCGCCACACTGATGAGCACTGGGCTGCAGCGAAGCGGGTCCTCCGCTACCTCCGTGGTACCAAGGACTATGTCCTCACCCTCGGAGGCTCTTCTCCTCCCCTCCTCTCTGGCTTCAGTGACTCCTCCTGGGCTGACTCCCAGCCGGATCGCCGTTCCTCTCAAGGCTACGGCTTCACCCTTGGCAGCGGCCTCATCAGCTGGCGCTCCACTCGCTCCTCCTCCATCGCCCTCTCATCCTGCGAGGCTGAGCTCTATGCTTGCACCATGGCCGCTCAGGAGGCTTGCTGGCTCACCTTCCTCCTTGCTGAGATCGGTGCTCCTCAGCGCTGTCCCACCCTCTGGTGCGACAACGCCAGCACCATCCATCTCACAAAGGACCCTGTCTTCCATGGCCGCTCCAAGCACATTGAACTCCGCTACTTCTTCGTTCGAGAGTTGGTCCAGCAAGGTCACTTGGTGGTCCGCAAGATCGCTGCAGAGGCCAACTTGGCCGACATCTTCACCAAGGCCCTCCCGAAGACCGCGCACTCTGCCCTCCTCCGCCTTCTCGGCCTTGGGCCCCGCCCCCTTCCTGATTCTGGGGTTGTACCCTACATATACACTAGCTTTGCATGCTATGGGGTTGTGTTAGAATATACCATGCTATGCTAGTTGTGTATATTGTGTTTACATCCCTAGTTGGGTGTACACCTGTGTTGGGGTGTCAATCCAACCCAATTGTGGTTGGAGCCCCCAAACACAAGGACCACAATTGTGGGGGCACCACAAGTGGGTTGGCTAAACCACTGGTGGTACACCACACTTGGACGACCTCCAACTGGTGGTCAACCACATTTGGAAGGATCCTCCCTCCCTTGTAATTGGTCCTAACCCCCCCTTCCCTTCCAACATTCCCTTCCTAGCTCATCTCTCTCTTCCTATGTAATGCCTTTGCTTCATCAATAAACTGAACCTTTCTGTTTCTAACACCTTTTACACACTTGAATCCCGAGGGAAGAGGAGTAGCCACATGACCTTCACTCTTCCCAAAGTTTGCAGCCAAGGCCTCCAAGTACTTCTTTTGATGCACTCGCATCCACCGCTTCTCCACATCTCGCTCAATGTGAAGCCCAAGGTAGTAGTTGTCGTCACCAAGGGTCTTGCACTTGAACTTTTCTTGAAGCTTCAGCATCACCTCCTTCACAAGGTCAGAGGAGGTTGAGAATATGAGAATGTCATCCACATAATCCACCATGAAGCTCCTCTGCTCCCCCTTGCCAAGTATGAACAATGATTGATCGGCCGTTGAGGGAGTGAAGCCAATCGCCTCCAAGACCTCCCGCAGCTTGATGTACCATTGCCTAGGGGCTTGCTTGAGGCCATAGAGTGCTTTCTTCAGCTTCCACACTCTGCCACTCCCATCATTGTACCCTTCGGGCTGCTCCATGTAAGTCTCTTCCTCCAGAAATCCATTGAGGAAGGCCGTTACTATATCCATTTGCTTCACCACCCATCCTTTGATGGCCGCCGCGGCGAAGAGAGTTTGAAGGGTTGTACCCTTCACCACAGGAGCATACACTTCATTGTAGTCCTTCTTCTCCTGCTGCTGAACCCCTGGGCTACAAGTCTGCTCTTGTAGCGCTCAATGTTGCCGTCGGCGTCGGTCTTGCGCTTGAAGAGCCATTTTGAAGAGATCGCCTTATGCCCCGGAAGTAGGTTCACCAAGTCAAACGTGTCTTTCTCGATGATGCTCCCCAATTCTTCATCTGAGGCCTTCTTCCACTCCTTCCCATTGGGGCCCTCCCAAGCCTCCTTGGGATTTGTAGGCTCCCCCGGCATCTCCACCGGAGAGAAGGCAAAAGCGCACTCCTCGCTTTCATCTTCCGCATCATCGCCTAACATGAGAGCCGAACCGGTCAAGGTTGAGTTGGCTGGTCCTCCAAGCCGGTCATACAGTGGCGGAATAAATTGTCCACATGTTCAGCCCTTTTTGGCATTTTGATGAGTGCAGCGGCGTAAACATTAAGCCTTAATGTATGGTGTGCATACACGCTGAGAAGATCCGTTAGAGCACTCACTTGAGTTGCCAAATACCAAAGTAGTACCACACATGGTCCTTAAACACCTAAGCATAGCATAGGATAACATCCGGACAATTTGTACCGAAAACAGGTAGCATACTAGATTCTAGGAAAACTAGTACCTAGTCCAGCGTCCCTTTGCCCGAATCACTGCCTTGATCCTCCTCGGCAGGCTGTGGATCAGGTTTGCACACACCTCTGCCGGTATCTTGTCCCATTCCTCCTGCACCCTCTCCCACAGCTCCAGCATTCCACTTGGCGGCTTTTCATACTTCCCTAGCTGCCTTTTCAAGTGTGCCCATTGTAAGAAATAGAGTTGAAATGATTGATTAGGTAAGGAGCCCAAGGCTCTATAAGTACACGGCAAGGTGAGAGTGAATGGATGAAGGGGGAATTGGAGGGAATCCCCATTGGGATCTCCGGAATCTCCAATTGGGTAATTGGAGATTGGGGGGATCACAATTGGGCGAGGTTGGGATTTATGAGTACACCCGAACCCACTAGAACATTCATAACCTAAACTAGGATATAAAAGTACAAATACAAAAGTGGTATTTGCAGTCTATTTCTAACACCCATAGGTGCTCAATCGGGTTAAGGTCGGGGGAGCACGACGGCCATTCCAGCACCGCGTACTCCTGCTCCCCAAGCTAGTCTTGGACCAAACGACCTGTGCTTGGGATCATTGTCGTGCTGAAAAATGACATCTGAGGGGGAAAGCTTGAAAAAATCGATGGTCTGTTTGAGCTCATCTTGCAAGATGCTGCGATACAGCGGCTCATCCATCCTGCCATCTATCTTGCACATGAACCCCGCCCCCTCATACGTCATGCAACCCCACACCATCACAGAACCGCCCCCATGCTTAACTGTCTGTTGGACTTGATGGCTTCGAAGGCTAGTGCCCTCGCGAATCCAAGCGTACGCACGTCCGTCGGGGCAGTAGCGGTTTATCTTTGTCTCGTCAGACCAAATCACCCGCTTCCAGTCCTCCAGCGTCCAGTCGGCATGCGACCGCGCGAAGTCGAGACGATCTCGGATGTTTTTCGGTGAGAGCCTGGGTTTCTTGAGCTGATGCACGGCGATCAGCCCCGCGGATCGTAATGAGTTCCGGACCGTCTTCGAGTCTACGGCGAGACCGTGCTTCTCCAACAACATATTTGCCGCTTCTACAGAGCTTTTCGCCTCGCCGCTTGTAATCGCGCGTATTATTCCGCGCTGGAGACGGGTAGTGATTAAGCGGGGGCGGCCGGCCGAAGGCATCGTAGGTCGCACCTCCTCGAGACTAGTCTCGGCAGCCACTTTCAAACTGTAATCGTGCACGGTGCTCTTGCCTATGCCAAGAACTTTGCCTATTTTCCTAGTCGAATGCCCCGCACGCAACATGCTTATGATTCGCGCGCGCTTCTGCTCAGTTAACAGCTTCATGGCGATGCGGTCGTAGGCTCGCTTTCGGACTAACTCCTAAGCCAGCAACTGTTGCGCGTGACGATGTACACAGTGAGTGACGGGGGAAAATAGATCTACTCTTCTGCCTCCTCGCAAATCTGCCTCCTCGCCCTCTGCCTCTTCCATGGCTAGGCCCACAGCCCATACTTGCAACTCCGGCACCATCGGGACCCGCCAATTCACGACGGCGGAAATCTTCTTGCAAGATTTCCCGCTTCACATCTTCGAGCGAGAGGCGGGGCATATCTCGATTTAGGTTGATGATGAGCGAGGACCATGAGTCCGGAAGTAAGGCCAGCAGCTTGGTCTTCTTTTGAAGGTCACTGTAGTTCAGGTCAGCTCCTTCGAGCCGTGTCAATATGTCGAAGAATTTCTGCACTCCTTCCTTCACCAGTTCACCTTCGTCAATTCGAAGTGCCGGCATTTGCCGCCCCAAAACCACAGTCACCGCCGCTGTTGCAGGAGCATGTACACCCTTGAAAGCAGCCCATGCCTTTGGTCCCTTTGCTGGTTTACGCTGAAAAGGCTTGATGTGACGGATTTGGCTGCTCCCCAACGCTTGCCCAAGTAGAAGATAGCCTTGTGCGCTCTTCCGCACCCACGGGCTCTTCTCCGGGTCGTTCTCGGGGCGCTTCTCCGTTCCTTCCATCACCTCCAGCAGATCATAGTTGTCAAAGATGTTCTCCATCTTGAAGGACCACTCAGCAAAGTTGTCACCGTTGAACTTGTCAAGGCCAAACACTCTAGGCTCATCCCTAGAGGGGCCAAGAGTAGGTTGCACGGGAGCAATGGGTTGATTTTGGTGTTGACCTTGTGCTTGGGCGTCTTCTCTGCCTCCAACACCTCTGCCATCCCGTTCCTCAGGTCTAGGCATGGTCGAAATGGCTCCAAGGGGCTCTGATACCACTTGTTATAATCAGAATAGACTTAGATGTGCCTAAAATGCGAGAAATTGTGCACAGTCAGAATTCCGTCAGACAGCTTCAAATATTGATGCCGATCTGATGTGTGCCTTAAACGGTGATCTGTAAACTGGATCTTGAGCGCGCTGCTGTCGCCTATCAGCAGCAAGTTGAATCATAAAATTCCATGAAGATTTGACGACGCTACGGCGGTTTGACTGGCAGGAGGTACAGCAGCCACAATAGTGTTAGGAGTACAAAAACTTAGGAAGAAGAATTCGAGGTAGGGATGGTTCCCAGCCTCTACATACCCCAAGAGCCGAGGTCCAAGTTGATGGTACACCACCACAGAGACCCCAACCTTGAAATCTTGAGCTCTTGGTCTTGGTTCAGCAAGATCAATTCTTCTTGAGATGATGAGGGCTTGCTGCACACACCTGCGATGAGATGGACACTTCACACTCGACAAAATAGAGAAAGCACATGCGACGCGCAAACGACGACTTGACATGCGAGTTGTGAAAACTCGCTAATGTCTTGACCGACACAAACCACATTGTGATACACCATTCAAATACACACACAAGCACTAGATAG